ATATGTGCTTTTTGAAGTTTGGCGTGACGTTATAGTGGTCCGAAAGAGGAGATGTCATGAAATTTTGGCCAGTAGAACCAATACTTTTCCATACAAACAAAGTTTGCGGAAAAGTAATAAATTAAGATTAGGTTTGAATGAAACGAATTTCTATAGAAACCAACATAAGTAAATCCAAAAATATAAAACAAATGGAGAAAAATACCTCATAAAAACATAATTAGCATGGATGAGCAACTTACGTATAATTCATTGAGGTTAACAAACTGAATGTTTGTGTTTAAAACAGGAGCGATTGCCACCGTACAAAAAGAGTAAAATAAAAACACACGCAACATTTTTCCATTTGAAAATTGATTTGAAATGCCATTGCCAATTTATTAGATGACTAAAATCCACCTACAGTCAAGCATTGGGTTTTATAACATACCAAGACGTTCATTATCTTACAACTGATAAAAGTATTCGTCACGAAGTAATACAGTATTGATAAAGATGATAAATGACTTGTATTTGCTTTCGGAGTAAGCAAAGATTAGCAAAAAAAACATTTATTCTCATTTGCAGGAATTGGAATTGCTGTGATTATTTTATCGATTGAATTCCAAGCCGTTTATGTGATTTGACCATTTGATGTGAATGAAACAAGTTTATTAAATAATTGTTTGAATGTGAAAAATACCCGCGAATTCTTCGAAAAGCATATGATAGCTAATATCAAATATTGTGGCGTCTGAATCTAAGGTCTGAACTGATACCCTGACACATTTTCAATCCATTGGAAATGTTTGGTTACGCGCGTGAAAGCAGCTGGAGTGGCCTGGCGTCCGCAACTACCTTTTTCGTGAACAAAACTTAACAGGCCAACTAGAGTGTGGGTACCAAATTCATTGACTACCAATGGGCCTCCGGCATCATTCATACATGGACCTAATGTGAGAGAAAATCAAAAAGACTTTAATCAAATTGCGTAAAATGTTGAGTGCATGGAAAATACCTTGACGAACGTTGACACTCAAACTGCAAATCACTTTGTCGGTGACCAATTCCAAATCGTTCCCGTAGTAGGCAGCGCAAGCCGTATTTGGTATGATAACTTGTTCGGCAAAAAGTAAATGTTCGCTAACATTGGTGCTATCTGGCATGTGTAAGCAATAAACGTAATTCTATTAACTCATTGAAGGCTTTAATGGTTTCTGTTTTTTATTTTTGTAACAGTTCAACTCTGATA